AGTCTGGGAAGATTCTTGCTAGACGTTCTAGCTAATAAACATAACTGGACTGAATTTGCATTGTCTCTTGGAGTTCCTTGGGCCAGGCCTGACAGAAACATTCCTTTTTATTTTTTTAGAAAGATTAAGAAATTAATTATGCAGTTCTAAAAATGTTTAGGTCTTTTTAATGTTTAATTTAAAAACTGTATTTGTAGTTCTGTATTTTGATATTAAATGAATATCAGAAAAGGATAGGAAAAGAAACAGATTAAATATATAAATTACCTGGAAAAATGTTATTTAGTAATAACACTACAAAATCTGTATATGAAACTTTCATTTCCCTTTTCTTCTGCATAACTTTGTATTTTAATGTTAACATATTTGTATTGAGGAGTGCTGTACCTGTTTACTATTTAAACATGAAAAGCAGAAGTAAATCTGTTTTTTAAACCAATCCTGACAACTAAACATAATTTATCACCAAAGAATGAATAAATGTTCTAGCTGACTAATCTAAAGGCTAAACCTTCCAGCCTTTTCAGGTTTATAATAGAGACTGTGCAAAGAATAGCATAATACTGAACAATATGCAAATGGTGTTCACCAATAAAATGTTCCCTGCTTCAGTTACACCTTTGAAACACAAATTAGTTTAGCTCTAATCGTATTATAAAACAATCCTAAATATAGTTACATGGAAATTAGATTTTTAGAAGCCTATAGAACTACAAAACTGAGTTAGAGTTGGATGACAAATCTTAATTCCAAATACGTTATTATGATCTGTATATTTTCAAAATACTCCTTTTAACCACAGGTAAGTGTTGAAGAAACAGCAATGAGCTGACTATTTTTAGTACCTTCCACCCATGAATGGAAGTGATTGAAATGGATTAGATGGAAATTTTATTAATGTTATGGACCTCCAAGCTTGTTTGGAAGGCTAGACACATTGCTATAAGATTTTTTTAAATGAGAAACCAACAAACCTTTTTCTCCAGAGACAGTCCTAAGGGAGGATATGATCTCCTGAGACAGAAGTAGAATTTGGGGAAAAGCAGCCTGAGGGAAACTTGAAGTTTCTAGAATCTATACTGATTCTGCCTTAGGCTCAGCCTTATTCATACTGATAGCTGCTTTCTATTTATAATATGTAAATGTGTAAACAGATTTTTTTTCCCCAAGACCTCTTTACTATTCTCCTCCTGAGATTCTAAAATCACTGCACTGAATTGAAACACATGGTCCTAAAGTCTGCACAAAGCTGTCTTGTAATAGAATAAAGAGCAAGTCAAGAAGCTTATTTGTTATTTGTTCAGAATGAGCCCAACTGAATAATTACCTAAATCCAGTACTGAAATCATACAATTACTAAAAGAAAATAATCTTAGTTCAGGCACACTATGTCATAATTGCATGCTAGTTTCCTGCAATTGCAGGAAAGAATTAAGAACAAAAAAGTCAAGAAACAATTCACAGTCCTTATGATATTGCCATCCAGAATTGTTGGTTGGAAGGAAACATTTGCTGTGTGTGATGAGTGTTTCAAGGGTGTGGAAATATCTGCAGTAGGCATCTCCTGAAGTGCCTTAGTCATACATTAGAGTGATTTATTGTCAAGAGAATTACTACCAAGAATATTTACTCTTTTAAAATGATCAATTGCGTTGAGGAATTCCTTTGAGTAATGCTACTTGATTGTCATTTTATCACCTTATAAGCTGGAAAAGAAAATTTAAGAAAATAAACTCAGTGCCAACAACCTTTATGAGCAGTATGAGATTGTAATTTAGGACAGTTAGTTATGGAGCATTTCCATACTAAGGATTTACAGCATCACCCAGCCATTGCTATAGCAATAAGTATCCTGCTTCACTGAAGATATATTGATACAACAATGCTTTAAAATTTTTGTGCAGAAATGCTCAGTAACTTGATATTACTAATCATATTAGATATTATATCTCATTAAGTTTGGTTCTGCTTTGTTTTTGTGGCAGTCTTGTTTTGACTTTATATAATCAAGAAATGAACTCAAAAGTTAAAAAAAGACATAATCATATTGCAGTAATATCAGGACATTTCTCATGTTGTCAGTTCATGGATTTTCAGAATGCCCAACCAATTTTAAAATAGTAACTAACATAAGGAAGCATTACAAGTAATCAGATCTGAGGAGGTGTTAATGGGAAGTCTTAATATAGAAGCTAAAATTAAATGAAATAAGTAGATTGCTTTTTCAGATAAATTGTATCTATCAATTGGGATAAACAGCTGTTTGCTTTTTTTCTAACAATATTAGGAAATAAGCAAGAAAAGTAGATGGGGTCATATGCAAAAATCTCCCATTTCTTTGATCATATAATATTTTTTTCTTCTGAGGATATTGCAATGGTAGATATGTAATATTTAATTTCTGAATTCATTCACAGATTAATCTGAATCATAACTAATGCATAAAAATCTAGTTGATTGTGCAGCCTAACTTCATGTGGCCTTAAACCTACTTTCAAAAACAAGTGGTTGGAACAAATTTCTAATCTAAGAGCACAGGAGAAAGAGGGAGAGACAAAAGGGTGTAATAGAGGAGACAGAGAGATAGGTTATCCCTACCCCAGAATAAACCTGGGAAAGTGTGGCTTAGTCAAACTCTTGTTTCATTTTGTTTTGTAGAGCCACAATTCTTCAAAAATTCAGAACATTTTCCAAATGAGAATATGATATATTTACTCTCATATGTTTGTTATATCTCCAGTAAAGTTCAAATAACATTTTTGCCACATTCAGTAAGTATTAAAAGGGTAGATGTTGCATGAATTATGTTGATTTCAATATAACTATCTGATGTTATATACTATCAACATACACTGGTTACTTACTTTATCCATAATATAGATTGTGAATAAATGAACCATTAAAATAAATGAAAGAACTGTGGATAGATCTGAAAGTACATATTTGCACATAAATGTTTAATGTTGCACACATGGTTTCAATGCCATAATTAGGCCTACATTAAGGAATACACACATATATACTGTTTCCTACAATGCTGCTCACCTAAATGTGGAAATCAGAATCTTTAGGTGAGTGACTGTGTGGATAAAGCAGAGAAAGAAAGCAATAGATAATATGTCCTAAGCAACTTACTTTTTGTGACAACTCCCTCAAGGCGAATAATATTTGGATGATCAAACTGCCCCATGATACTAGCTTCTCGTAGGAAATCCCGTCTCTGCCTTTCCACATGTCCACCTTTCAAAGTTTTTATGGCTACAGGAATCTCTCTTTTCCCAGGTGTTTTTAGGCGACCGCTGCACACTTCTCCAAATTCACCTGAAATTCAAAACCAGTTTGTTAGACTGACAGCAATATAGATCATTTTAAGCCTTTACTATCTTCTAATATTTTAATATTAAATATCTGAATAACTATATGAAAATATTATGGCCAAAAAAACCTAATTAAAAAAATATACATACCTGTGTATATGAATTATTTACAAAAAATGCATCTGGCTCACAATTCCTATTAGTGAACTCAATTATTTACAAATGAAAGCCCAAGAAAATAGTGTTTTGTAGAGAAACTAAATAAACCATTATTTAAAATAAGGTCAAGAAGCTTTTTACAATTTGTCTGTATATAAAGTGTTTCAATAATCAATGAAATATCTCTTCAAATATAAAAAAACAGCTTGGGTTTATCAAATTATTGCACTCTGTAGACATATACACAAGCGTGCACACACACATACACACAGAGTCACTCACAATTCAGTGGGCAATTCCAAGTACAATTCAGTGGGCAATTCCACATACTACTCCACAAGTAGTATGACTACTGTTAGAAATAAGGACATTTGATGCTTCTTTAGAGCAGTGATGGCAATGCATCTTTGCTAGCCAAGTGTCTAGCAATATGAGTTGGAATTAAGCAACATTTAGAAGGCTAGAAATTGCCCATTTGTGTTCTGTAACCCACAATAGAAGTTATTCAATTTTAGACAGTTTCTGGATCAGGGCTGGGACTGTTTATGTTCATCTGAGACTCAGCTATAAATCTATTTATTATCCACGTATGTTAAAGATTTACATTCTAGAATATTTGGTGCTATTAGAAAACTACATTCAATATAAGCCATCCATACAATTTTTTTATAGTAATACTTTCAGTGTATTATTATAAAAGTGCACTTATTAGTCATGGGAAAATATGATTAATTTTTACCTGCCCCAATAACTCTCTCAATACGAATTCGTGATGGATCTATCTCCTTTGCAAACTCATGAACAGCAAGGGATGGGTCTTCATAAGTATCTGGATCAATATATGTTTTGGTTCCGGGAAATCGTACTGTAAAATCAGAAAGGTAGTTTTTGCATTATATGAATGATTCCAGCATTTAAATTAAAATAAAACAAATGAGACCATTAAGAAATACTAATCCCACTATCATACTGAAATTTATATTGCTAGATCTTGTTATTCTAAGCTGTTACTCATTATTGTTTAATTAACATTCATCCCAAACAATCTGTGAAAAGGCTGCTTATGGTGAAAGGTATAAGTATGCAAATGGACACAATTATAATGGGGCCAAGAAAGGAGAGAAATTAGCTCTTTCCCCCCCCGCTTCTTTAATAGAGGATGATAGAAATGACAGTGATAAGATGACAGCATGGGTTTCTCTAATCTAAATAGTATGACATGACATGGTAAGGGTGAGTATTTACATTTTCCTTACTTCTAAGATATATTCATGGATGTACTGTAAGTTTCCAAGCTATTGTGTGGTCTAGCCCTAGCTTGTGAAGAAGGATGAGGAAATCAGATGGCTGCATGGTCAAATGTCAGTCTAATTTTGCAATCTACAGCACTAAGTTATGCAGTTTTCCTGCTGCCTCAGAGAAACAAGGAATTATTCCCTTTATGATTTACAGTACATGTTTATTTATTGTGCAGCTTTCTCCTTTAAAAAGTATATTGAAGTGATCAAGTCAAATCTTTATTTGGTCATAGGCCAGCATAAGGAGGGTGGGTACAGTCAATTAAAAAGCATAAAAGATAAATTGGAGTTTATAAAAAATGTTTTGAAAAGCTAAAAGATATAAAACCGAAAGTCTGTATAAAAAATAAGAGTCTAAAAGATTCTAAAAAGGTGGCGGGGGGGTAGGAGCATTAGATGGGTGTGGAGGAGCATAAAAGTTAGTACGTGGCAAATTATATCAAATTACAGACCACACTAGTATGACAGACTAGATGCTCATTAAGTCTACTTTATGGCATAGATCATCATCTGACGAATTTATTTGCTGCTGTGCTGAACTGAAAGCAGCAGGGAGGTGTAGTGCGGCCTGGGTATTTATGCAGTAATGGTGAGATGAAGCTAGTACGAATATCTCTGTAATACAGGCACTGGAGAAGCATGTGCTCTGTTGTTTCTGTGTGTCCAAAGGCACTGTCTCTCTGGGTAAGGAATCTTCCTGTATTGGCCTTCAAGGACACTGAAGGGAAGGCATGACATCATGCTAGAGTAAAGGCCCTTCAGTGTTCAGGTACTTTGAGTTTATTTATGTATGCCAAAGGGAAGGCAGAGTACCTGTTGGATTCACTGGCAATAAAGGTTGGGGACCTGGCTAGATCCAGCTGGGGCTCTGTGTCTGCTACATGCTGTTTAATGAGTGCTTTGGCCTGATCATATCCAATGGTGAGTAGAAGACATGGAGAGAAGCCCAAGGATGAGATTTTAGTTGCCAGTGCCTGTTTCCATGTAGACTGAAAATTATCGTTTATAGTTAATGGGGCAAGGCCAAGGGGAAATATATTGATGTATTAAAAAAACATTACAAGTCAAAAATGTTATTTTTAGAGCTGGCTACATTCCATGATTGTCACAGGGTAACTGATGGTTAAATACATACTATTGCCTACTATTTTCATATTGTACTCTTTAATTATATTTTCTGTCAGACTATTTTTTTCCCCCTAAGGAGAAGATATTTCATCAGTGAATTGACCACGGCCAAGATATTTTCAAAAGAGGAAATACATGGGAGATGTTGGGATACCTACGACGAATGATAGGTAAATAATCGGAAGGATCGATAATGAAGCTCAAGCTCAGATACTTTGGTCACCTAATGCAAAGAGAGACCTCTTTGGAGAAGACCCTGATGCGGG